GCCTCTTACCATCCCTGGTCTTCTACAACCCCTCCTAATCTCTGCTTCTGGGTCCCCTGAGTGACTGTCCAGGTGCCATGACCTTGAGCACCTGCTTTCCCTTCTGGCTGGGCTCATCCTCCTGAACTTAAACTCCATTCCTCCTTGCCCGTGGTCCATCACAGCACTGTTTCCTACCATGGCTCTGGGCTCTCCTGTCTGTCCCTGTCCTGCTGTTGCTTGCTCCCAATATGACAAGTGTGATTATCGAAAGGCCTATTTTCCAGCAATTTTATAAGACAACCTGCAATTTCCTATCCTTCCGTGGGAGAAAGCCTGGTGTTTCAGGAGCTAGAGAGGAAAATGTAAATCATCCAGGGAGATGCACTGAATCCTCTCTGGACCTGCTGGAATCTGACATCATAAAGAAGAAAACTTAAATAATAGTGGAGGAGATACCAAAATAAAATTTAAACTAAATGTGAAACATTAATGCTTTGCATTTAGTCCTTTGCTTTTTGTGTTAATTTCTCATTGCTGACATTTCACAAACTTAGTGACTTAAAACAACAAAAGTTTATTTATAGTTGTGGAGATCAGAGGTCAGAAATGGGTCTCACTGGGCTAAAATCAAGGTGTTGGCTTCTGGAGGCTCTAGAGGAGAACCTAGCCCCTTCCCTTTTCTAGGCCCTGGAGGCTGCCCCACATGCCTGGGCTTGTGGCTCCCTCCTCCACCGCGAAGCTGTCAGTTACGTTCCTCTGACCTCTGCTTCTGTCACCACATCTCCTGCTCTGACTCTGACCCTCTGGCCTTCCTTTTCTGCATATAAGTCCTCTTGGATAATTCAGGTTATCTTCCCCATCTCAGAATCCTTCATTGTATCTTCAGAGTCCCTTTTGCCACGTAAGGTGACGTATTCAACAGGTTCCAGGAATTAGGATGTGGACGTCTTGGAGGGGCCCTGAGCCTGCTTACCTTCCTTCACTGGCTAATTTCATGGTTAATTTCAAGAGCTCCACTAACACCAGAGCATGCCCTCATGTGCTAAACGTTTTACATGCCTTCTCATTTATGCGTCACAGTAACTCTGCAAAGCAAGCACCAGTATCAAATCCTTCGTGTAAATGAGGAAACAAGCTCAGAGAAATGATATCGCCGGCCCCAGGTTGCACACGCTGGGTACTCACGTGCGTTCGTTTTCTTATCAGCCCCTATCCTGCCTTTCTGTCCGCTCCCCTTCTGCCTTCTCCCCAGTTTCCCAAGTAACTGTAGCCTCCTGGGACCACCAGGGATCTGCCACATCTGGGAGAGATTGCCTTGAATTTGAAAACAGTTGCAGTTGGGGGGTTTTATATCAGATTGGTTTGCTTATTTATTTATTGGCATGTTTTTCCCGCTTGGATTTTTATTCTTATGTTTTTCTACTTTTTCAGTTTTGTTAGGTAGAATTATTACAGGTCGACTGCACATACACATTATATTGCATGTAAATACATATATACAGTATACTGCACATTTTGTTTTAGTTTACATATATGTACTAATTGTTTCTAAGAACAGATGAGATCTTTAGCTTTTTAAACTTACATAGGTATCAAAGGAATAAAGCCAACTACGAAGTAAAAATCAACAGAATACAGTAACCCAATTGTAAAGGACAGTCAAAGATGCTTACACATATTCAAGAAATCAAAATAATAATTATACTTCCTTATCCTTAACATTCAATATTTTTATGAACATGCAGCTCAGTTATTCTGGTCTTCATAACTTTGATCCAGTAGCTAGTGGGCCATTTCAATCTGAAGATTTAGGTTTTATTTAAATGTAGTGACCTAGTGGATCTGGGGATAGGATTTGTGTTCTATTCATTTAGTTTTCTTCCTCAGGACCCCAGCTGTTTATCTGGGAGTTAGGCGTCCTGTCTCTGTTTTCTTTATCGATTTTTCTCTCTCCAGTTCTTTTTATCTCGGGCTTTCTTTGCTATCTGGATTCTCTTTTTTTCCCCCAAGCCTGTCCTCCAGGTCACTGATTTTCTGCAATGCTGATTCTGCTGTTCACTTCGAATGCTGTTTTGGATTCTGCCAAAGGCATTGTTTACTATAATTCTTCTCTTAGTCCCTCAAGAAGTCTTTTCTTTCCTCATACTTTTCCTTGTCCACTCTCCTCTGAGCCCGTGTTCCGTAGATCCCATGGGTTTCCATTGCTCATGGTCTCTCCTTCTGTATTCAAAGAGTTGGATGTTGGAGGGAGAGCTCTGGGTCTCATGAGCTGTCTGTTTGGTTGGAATAGATGCATTTTGCTTACCCCCCACACCTCCTATACAACAAACCTCTCTCCATCCCCATCTTTGCCTTTGTGTGTGTGTCCTAGTTAAAACACTGGCAGTAAGTAGTTAGATCCTCTTCATGCCTGTTACCCAGGGAATGAAGGTGCTGAATGGAGATGAGTGATGGGAGGGTAGTTACCCCGCAACATACAGGGTGTTTTCAGGACAGGCTCTAAACTGGGTGCCCTGCAACTAAAATCCCAGCTCTGCCGCTTCCAGGCTGTGCAACCTTAGGTGGGTGGTTTCACTTCTCTGAGCTTCAGCTTCCTCATTTATACAATGGAGATAGTAAGTGTGCCCACCTGATAGAATTTCGTGAGAAATTAAGGAGAAGACACGTAAAACACTTAGCTTAGTCACTCTTAGCTTAAAAAAGAAAGACAACAGTGCTTATTATGTTACAAATAAATCAGGTTAGAAAATACCTACGCAGAGCCTCATCACTCCCTTCCTACCACAGTGGCCTTGGGAGGCCTTGCTCAGCAGTGAGGAAGGTGGGTTCCTTCTGGGGACTGCATCTTTTCCCAGCCCCTCCCACACATTCAGCCACCTCTTCCTCAAATCAGGACACATTCCCGGCGTTTGCCAGAATTTCCTCTACTCCCTCATTGAACTCTTTTGGGAAAGGGAATTGTACTGGGTGTTTGGTCAGATCTCATATTTTGGTCAAGTTGTACCTTATTTTGCAAAAGTGGGTCGGGGTACGAGGCAGTTGGTTGGCCGTGTTGGCCCTAAGGCTTCCCCCCTTCCTTTTCCTTCGTTGGGTTTTGTCTGGTGATGCTGCTTAGTTTCTGGAAGGTGAGGGGGTTGGGGCTGCCTCTCATACTGCCATGGCTTTTGGAAAGTACCACTTGTTTTATTATTTTCAAGTGGAAAATCAATACATGTTTGAGGCAGAAAGCCTAAAGAATGCCAAAAAGTGAAAAAGAGGAAGATCGTCACCTGCAATCTGTCCAGTCCGGAGCAAGTCTTATGGAGGCCCCGGTTACTTTGTGTTTCTTGGTTTCCTGATCGCTGCCCTCCCTGCTGTCCCACCTCATTGGCTTCGTTTAGCTGAGCACAGTGGCTCTACCCCTTCTTTTCTTTTTTTAAATATATATTTTTATTGAAGTATAGTCTATTTACAATATGTCAATTTTTGGTGTACAGCACAATGATTCAGTCATCTAGGAACAAATATATATTTATTTTCATATTCTCTTTCACCATAAGTTACTACAAGATAATGAATATAGTTCCCTGTGCTACACAGTATATACTTGTTGTTTATTCTTTATATATCTGTTAGCATCTGCAAATCTCTAACTCCCAACTTGTGCCTCCCCACCGCCTTCTCCCCACCCCATATCTACCCCGCCTTGTGTCCCTGTCCCGACACGCCCCTGAAGAGGGTGGTCAAGATGATGTGGGTGAAAGTAGGTCATGCATGTGGTAAAACTGTTTATTTTGCACGGGAAGCGATGAAGATCACATCTCGGAAGACTCAGGGCACGGGAAAACTCATAAATCATAAGGTTTCCCTAAATCTGACCAGACAATTAAAATACTCAATTTTACTTTTAGGGAAAAAATTACATTAAGGCAGGCAGTGAAGAGAAGGTCTCAGTGAAAAGAATACTTGGCTTAAAGCTGGAAAACCTGAATAGGAAACTTAATGCTCTGCATATTTATCCAGCCTCGCTGATGTTGGAATTCTTCTAAGAGGAGCAGCAATAATACACACCTCAAACACAGCTAAGACCCAGGCCCTGGCACGTATCAGGGGCCTAATAAGTATTCACTCAAACTACATCCTCATGCATGTGCCTTCCCAGTTATTGTAACTTGCTACTGTGGGAAGGGTCTTACTCAGATTCAGAGTATCGCATCTAAGATTCAGGATGGTCAAGACAAAAATACTGTGCTCATGTTGATTCTAGGAATGTTTACCAAGTTGGGAGGCTTCAGGGCACGGTGGGTGCTGGAGATGAAGAATGAAGTCCTGCGCTGGGGGAGCTCACAGTCAGCAGTGGGAAACGGTTGCAGGCAAAAATGTGTGCGAAGTTTGCATCACACACAAGAGAGTGAGGGGCTTCCAGGAGGTGGTGTGACAGTCAGGGGAACTTCCTGGAGATGCTGATGAGCTGTTTAAGGGAGAGGGAGTATCTTCAGGCAGACAGGAGGGTTCCAGGAAGAGGAAGGAGCATCTACCTAGGAGGAGAGGTGTTGAAAAGCCCTCATCCATACCCTGCCCAGGAGGACAGAATGGTCCCTGTTGGGGGTACTTAGAGCCTGTGGGTGGGGTACCAGGGCACCAGCTGTTTATTGTCACTTCATGGACTGTCTTTTCAAGAACCAGCCTGAGTCTGTCTTTGGGGAAACCCTGCGAGTTTTGCTTAAGAGATGAAGGAATATGGGAGGAAGCTTAAGGGGCTAAGTGCCAACCCCAGACGCAGAGGAGCAAGGAGCCAAGGTATTTAGAAGGGGCTGCGCCCTCTCTTCTTGCTGAAAGGCATCCACCATCTTGAGTCAGCTCACTAGTGTTAGTAATTTATTCATAAATCATGTCACTTGTAGAAACCAGCCATGGAGACTCCTTATTATGGAAAGTCATGGCCCTTGGGGGCGTGGGGACCAGTGGAGCCTCCACACTGGGGATCATCCAGGAGCTTGTGATAATGTGATTTCTCCCTTCCTTCCTCTGTCCTGCAGCAATGGAATGGCCGGGACACGGCCCTCATGGTCACCCGCGTGGTCAACCACAGACGCTTCTCGGCCACAGTCAGTGTGGCAGACACTGCCCAGAGGAGCGTGAGCAAGTACCGCTGTGTGATCCGCTCTGATGGTGGCTCTGGTGTGTCCAACTATGCCGAGCTGATTGTGAAAGGTGAGTGCTACCAGCCCGTGCCTCTCCCAGGTGGTGGATTTCATGGGTACCCCTTGGCCCCATCTTACCATGTTGGGAGAAGCTAAGGTTCCCCCTCTTTTCTCATCTGCTGCTCCTCCACCCATTCAGCAGAGTGAGACGCAATTTCCAATTCTCCCCACCCACACACAGCAAGAGAGGGGTGGAAGTTATTGTAAAATCATGCAATATCACATTGTTATTCAAAGTTGAGGCTTACCTGTAGGATTTGTATATGAAAGCTTCTGGAATATATAACACAGAAGACATATCCAAATTCAGCTCTGTCTTGCACTTAAAAGTTACAGTATAACAAGCATGTCAAATGTTAGTATAAATGTGTATTTTGCTGTCATTAAAAAGTATTTAATAATCATACATGTAAATGACTGTATCAGACTAGAAATTAAAACATCAAATTTTGACTAAAATCAAATTTCCTTTAACATAAATTTATGTTCAAAAAATTAAAAACACATAAAATGTTAACTGATTATTTTAAATATTTGATATGTTAATAAAAGCAACGTTAGCAGTGCTAAAAAAAAGTTACAGTGAACCAACGTCCTGTGTTTCGGTGGCATTCTGTTACAGTGTTCAGAGAGAACACTTGTTTCTGATGGAGATTTTAATTGAAAACTCGATTTAATGACAATGTTTTGGAAGGACTTTTGAAATAAGTAGCCCCCTCCCTCCCACCCCACTGGCTTTGATTCAGGTTTTTTCAGTTTTCTTCTTCTTGTTCACCTTGAGGTATCGTTGACGTGTTTTTCCATTAAAATGTGCATTGTTCCTGCTTCTTTCAGGGAGCTGGACACTCCATCCACTTTTGAAAGGCTGTGTAATCTTTGTTACAATGCTTAATTGTTGTATACTATTTCATCAAGTGAATCATCCTTTTAAAAAAAGTCTCCCTCTCTGGCCTCATTTAGGTAATTCCAGGTGTTTTTGTTTTTGTTTCATCTTTCCTTTGTGCATGCGACAATTAACACCTCAATTGAGTTCCTCAGAAGAGAACATTTTTATTCTGTTCAACCAGATTATCTCCTTGGATAAATTCCCTGGGGGTAGAGTTGGTAGGCCAAAGAATATGAGCATCTTTATGGATTTTTCTTTGTGTTGCAATATTGCTTTTGCAAAAAACAAAACAAAACAAAAAAACAACTGGTTTGACAGCTTACACTGGGAAACAGCAGTGTATGGATGTACTCATTTTCCAGTGTTATGTTCGCCGATTAAAATTTTAATGTAGCATAATTTAGTGAATGAAATAATGAAGCTGTTCATCTTAATGCTCGCTGAAGAATGACACCCAGTGCGTTTGAAGGTAAAACCATCGCTCCATCCCCTGGAAACCTCCTGAGTTGGTTTCCTTGATCAGAGCATGCTTTGGTGTGAAACCTTGACCTCTCTCTGCCTCCCCCATGTCATGGTACCCTTGTCTGGGCAAGATGGGACTGCAGCCTGGGATTCTCTTCTTATGCTGCTATTGTCCCAACTCCAGACGGAGACATGTGGCTGCCCGTTTGTCACTCATCAGGTCTCAGCCTGACTGTAATCATTCGTCGTCTCTGAGTCACTCTCCCCTGACCCCTACATTTTGATGGTCGCCTTCTATCACATCACCTTGTCTCTTTTTCACTCATCACATTTCCAAAGTATATGTTTTCTTAATTTTGTTTACTTGGCAATTTTCCGTCTCCCCCTTGAGGATATCAGCTCTGTGAAAAGAGGGGTGTCTTCTGTTTGGTTCCTGGTTCACAGTCAGTCCCCCCAGCTCAGTGGCGCGCCTGGCATGAGTGCTGAAACCCCCCAAGCCAGCTGAGGTTGCCCGCGCTCAACTGCTTTCACCTGCGCAGTCAGTCACTTCATAAGGTTTCACCTTAAAATATTTGTTGAATGGTGGGTAAGTAAAGGAATGCTTGGCCTCAGCAGGAATTCTTTTTGTCACCAGAGTGTTGTGGACACTTCAGCTGTAGATTCACAAACTGGGCGGTCACGGACAAAACTACTAACAGGAAAAAAAATCATCTTTAAAAAATTTACATTGAGTGCCATTAATGTATAAAAGAGACCATCATTTTGATCGCATTAGGCTCGTATCTCGGCTTTTTGGTGCTGTAAGATTGATTTGTGTGTCACAGTGGCCTTGGCAGGTCTTTCGGGTGCTCGGTGAATATGTACTCGGTGAATATGTAATTTCCTGAGCTGTGCCCTCTGCAACTCTTCCTCTTTAATGGCGACCTCCCACACCGGAATGGGGGCCATCCGGGAGGGGGACTGTGTTTTCTCGTGTGCTCCATGGTCTACCCAGCACCGTGCACATGCCTGGTGCAGAGTTGGCAATGAGAGCAGAGGGTGAAGGACCATGGCGCTAGTGCAGGGTTCTGGACTTCCCACACGCAGACAAGTGGAACCAGAAAATGCCTCGTTTAGTCTTTCCTTGTGTCCCCAGGTGTGGAGGAGGAGGTGTGGGAAGCCAAATCCAGAGGTTTCTGGGGCAGAGGGGGTGATTTCCATGGTGAAGCATCCCTGCCTTTGTTTGGAGGGCTGGCTGGGGTTTCCTGGGACAGTGATTTATCCTTTGCTGGCTGTGTGTCCTGGGTCTGAGTTCAGCCTGGGGGGAGCCATGCAGTGACCACGTTTGTCCACATGACCCATGAGCCATTGCTGCTCTGTCCCCTCACCTGCAGCCCTCGCTGCTCTGTTTTAAGGGACAAGCTGGGTGGCCTCCTTCAGAGGCCCCTTCATGGTGGGCAGTGGTGGCTTGGTGCTCCTGGTAACCAGGACCCTTTATATTACACCTTATTGAAATCCTTTATTAAATATCATGTTTTTAGTGTCTGTTTTTTCCCCATTGCATTTTTTCCCCTTCTTACATTTAGATGGTGGTAAGCTGGAAGCTGGGCCCCTCGAATGTAGAAGTTCCTTCACATTTGCGGTCTCATTTAGTCCTGCCTGTGGCTTTGCACCTTGGTTTCATTTTAATTCGCCTTGTGGCTGGGAGAGCAGCCACGAGCAGGTGGAGAAACAGGGAGAGGTCCTCAGAGGCAGAGTGGGGGTGAACCAGCGGCTGGCTCAGGCTATTTTGGTCACATCTGGAGGGCCTGAGGATCATGGCCTTTTTGGCATCTGGGGTACTAACTTCCAGTTTCCTAAAGAAACACACACACACACACACACACACCCTAAAAAGCTGACGGTACCCAAGCCAAACAAGAAACTGAAAGGTACCGACACCCAGAAGCAGCAGCAAGCAGAGGAAGCCTGTCACCCTGGAGCGTGCGGCCAGGAACTTCCCTGAAGGCCCCAGGAACTTCCCTGAAGGCCCCAGAGCTCTGCGGGGCAAGTATCTTATGAAGAATGACTCACTTATGTCTTAGAGCCCCTTGCCACGGCTGAGCCAGACTGCTTAAATACATTAGTACTGAAGTATTTGCACTTGTTAAAAACAAACAAACAACAAAAAAGAGAAAAAATAGAAATCTGCCTTCTTTCCTGGTGGGGAGAAAATCTGATGAAACAAAACAAAACAAAACAAAACAAAATCTTCTCAAGGGCTAAGTGCTCTCCCAGGAGACAGGGCTGCTCCCCAGATTTAACTTCCCGTTCCTGGTTTACAAGTCATGCAGATTGTGTGGGCTGAGAGGGAGGGAGCAGATCCTGGGGCATCCCAGGAAGACAACCACCCCGGCCAGCGTTTTCCCCAGGTTTCCTCCGTTTAGTTCTAATTCAGAGACAGGGAAGGACTCTGGAGCCGGAATGCCCGGGTTGGAATCCTGGCCCCGTCTCATCGCAGCGCTGTTACCTCAAACTTCACCCTCTCCCAGCTTATCTGGGAGAGGGGCTATAGGATTACCTCCCTCACAGGGGTGTGTGTGTCCTGAGGATTACATGAGACAATGGATGTAGGGGTTCTTAGAACAGTGCTTGGCCCACTGACCTATAAGGTTTTGTTAAAGAAAATAAATGACTTGCCAGGATGAAAGGTGGTGAAGTCATGAATGGGTGGGTGCGGCAGGTCCCCTGACCCGGGTGCCATACCGATTTGATTGGTATCTACGTGGCCCTGGAGAAATCAGTTAAGGCCTCCTCTGCAGAGTGGGGACCAGCGCCTTCTCCCTATTCAGTCACGTGCTGAGCGTTCAGAAAGGAAGGGAGGAAATATAAAAGTAGGGGTCAATATGTGGGCTTGAGAACATTTGAGTCATGGGGTTCCCCACTAGGTCAGACTCCCCGGGTTCCCTCCTGTATCCACCACTGGTGAGCCAGGAATCTGGGACAAAAGAAAAGGTGGTTCTGCTTGTGCTCATCCACCTCACCACCTGGCATCATTCATTCAGAACTGGGGCCGTGCTGGGGTTGAGAGGTCATAGGCCCCTCAGTGCCCAGGAGTGCCAGGGGCTGGAGGCCCCTCTGATGGCTTTGGCAGCAGACGCTTGTGCTGGGCCAAGCTATGGAGGGTGGAGGTCCAGGCTGGGTCTCTGTCTTTCCCTGAACAGGTGTGTCTATGGCTGTCTGGCTTGTGGCTCGTGTGTTAGCCGGGAATTGTGAGCATTAGTGCCTCGGAAGATGACACCTAATTTGAGTGTAGGTAATACCAAATTCTCGGGGCGACACACCAGATCAAAATGAAAGCAAATTGAAATTACTTAATTCTGAAGAGCTGTTTATTGAGTTGTGATAATGTGCCTGGTGTACATTAGATTACTCTATAATTGAGGTTTTGCTCATTTGACAATCTGGCCCCTCAACCTACCTATTCCAGACCAGTGCTCATAAATGCACTAATTCTCTCTCTATTTCTAGGTTTCCCAGTGTCTCTGATTTCAAGGTGTTTTAACTTATTCCAAGGGCGTAGATCTCTTCAACCAAACTTATGCAGATGTGATCCTGATGAAAATTTTCTAACACACAAAAAATTTGTTGGTGGAAGTGATTTTTAAATTTGTCTTCTAGTTCCATTTAACAACCTACCATGG